CAGCATTTGGTCGGAGGAGCGTATCCCTTTGTCCTGGGGTGAATCGTTGATCGTCCCATTCTTCAAGAAGGGATCGCGCAACTACGGACTTTCAAGTTCTGTAACTCCGTTCGGCATACGCTTTGTACCTTCAAAGTGCANTGCTCGAAAATGCTTGCTGCTTGGAAATGCGGGCGGTTATCTCCTTCGATGTCCCACCGTCGTTGGTCACGCAGCTACCTAAGCAAGGGAAGCAGTCAACTTCAGCTGACTCCTGACCGTCTAGTTTCAGTACAGCACTCGTCGGGGCTCTTCGTGAGCTGACGTTGCAGACGCCACCTATCACTGCTTTGATCCCAGGCGGTCGGAATTTGCGGTTTTCTCTCCATCAGATATCCAATGCCTCGAACAGGCCTGAAGCTCAGATCCACAAGCAACGTTTGCTGCGGAGTGCATTGCTCGTCTAATCTGATCCTATTGTTCCTATACACTACCACCGCCCAGCGCGTTTAGCTCTTACCGTAGTTGTGATTCAAAGCGGGTACGAACGGATGAGTCAGATATGCGATTATCCGCCAATCGACCTTGGTGGGTTTTTTGCGACCAGTGAGTTGGAGTGAACTGCATCAAAACTGATGCGTGATTAGATTCAACGCAGGTGGTCCTATAGGACCTGTAGTTTTGTACTGAGCCCTCCCAACAGTAGCTTTCTGCTATGTGGTCAATTTGAGCTAGCGAACCACGTTGCTGTCCGTGAGAGCTGTGTCGGAAGTTGGTGCTGGATAGAAACAGATGACGGTCTGCGCACAACTGAAGAAGTTGATCGCCATTATCTGCTCGCGGGAAGGGCAGAGCACAACGACCACCATGGTCAAGCTTCCGATGCGATCAGTTTTCCAACTTGCGCGTTATAATTACCTGCAGGTAAACCTATATCGGAGCTTCGGCTCAACCGAATGAGTTCCGTGAGTGTCATAAAACTCGTCCCTTTATGCGTCAAGATTGCAGTTGGTCGGTGCATACACTGAAATAATGAACAAACACCTTTTGGTGTTGCTTCTCTTCCGAACGCTGATAGACCCTTGGAGCCGCAGTGCACATGAGTGGCCATTGACGGGGATCCAATCGAGTAGTGCGGTTTCGGCTGTATTATTGAGTACAATGCCCACACCACGCTCGTCTACTGAACGGGCTTCGTCATCACCTGATGTACGGAGGAAGAACCTCGAAGACAACCCTGGTGCACTCAAGTGGCGCATAGTACTAGGATCCTGGATTCGAGTCTCCGATACACAGGAGACATCAATCCCCGAAGGGTCCATTGTACGCGCCAGCCATGCTTGTTGACCTACCTGCATCAGAGTCCTTACGTTGAAGGCCCCCAGATTCAGTGGCTGATTAGGCTTCAGAGTATACAATCTATTTTGTTGTAAACTGCTTACCGGGTTACTTGGCGAGGAACTTTAGCGAGTGGCGATCAAGTTGTCTGAGGGAATGTTACGCGTTGGAAGAGGGGGTAAAAGGAGAGGGTTGGAAACGTTTTGCACGCTTTATTGTTTTGGGATCTGTTTTTACCAGATCCTCTCGGCGAACCGTCGGAAAACACCGTCGTGAGGTTAATGAAAAGCGCTTCCTCAGCCCAGGCTTTGTGAAACGCTTTGTGGTATAAAAAACATTTCGCGGGATGCAAGGAAATGGTGATCAGTCTTACCCATCCCCGATCGTACCAGGCTTTTCTTACGACTACCGAAGTAGTACTAGGTAGATGATCGTTAAAGATTACATCGATTGTGACATTCAATGATGCTTTAAAATTTTAAAGGGCGACACACTTTGGGAATCTTAAGTGACTAGTCCAGTCTGTTGTTGTTTTCGAGATCAGACTTCGTCATGTGTTTTGTCACCCAAAAATCACTACAGTCTTGGGTACATGTAGACTGATTGTCAACTAGCGTCTACGTGTTCCACCCCGGTCATACGCTTTTTCATTAAGCCACTCTAAGCAAACCGACGGAAACTGCAGAAGCTGGTCACATCATCTGAGTTATGGATAAAAAGTTGGCGATCGGGTTACAGCTAACAATGCTTTGTTCACAATCGTGGGTAATGCTTGTTAACACGAAATGGTGACTTTATAGAATAATCAGTTCAGTTCAGTAATTTTGATAAATAACTTCAGCCTAAATAAAGAATTTTACTAGCGATTTGTTTTCTGGCTGTGCTTGATTAGAACGACTGAATGCTGGTTGTGTTCAGGCGACGCTATTGATCCGCGTTGTTTTTCCGTGCTTAAATTCGATGATTACCGCCCAACTTTCTAGCTTATTTTTGTTCCCTGGCATCCCTTGACTCAAAAGGACTATTGTACCAAGATTTGTTTGGCACAGTCTGGCGTCAGGCTTTTGTAGTATATATATATATATATATATATATATATATATATATATATATATATATATACTACAAAAGCCTGACGCCAGACTGTGCCA